ACCAACGGCGGGTCCCCGAGATAGGCTAACCGCCGGGTTTCGTAGCTGGATGGTTAGCTCTTAACTCTGGTGTACCCTCAGAAAAAAGGGAAGTAGTAAATGTTACTGTCCACCTTTGCTTGTGGCATTTTCTGAGCCTGGATCCTCTCTTGAAGTATAGGGATTGCTGACTGATTTTTCTAGGAAGAACTCAATGGTTTCATTCATGTGTCTGCACTGTCTGGTGGGTTTTTTTTGGGAAGCCTCTGAACATTTCTGCTCCTTTCTTTTGTTCTTTATATTCATTGCCTTTTACTACTGACTCCCCCCCAGTTATATTTTATTTTCCAAGCAGATGCAGACTGGACCATTAAGGCAAAAAAGTATCAAATATCTGCTATAAGTAAATGCATTTTCAAGTTTCTCTGTGTTAAAGCAAATGCACACACTCATAAATATGTATATGTCCAGGGCATGCATTGTACATCCACATACATATCAAAACGCAGGTGAGAAAAATTGTTGTGTGATATTGAATGAAAATCTTGGGACAGAAGGAAAAGTAAAGGTACTGGAGCAATCCAAACTAGGCTCTGGCAGGTTGCCGCAGATGGCAATAAAGTTGCTGTCAGTGGACTCCTACCATTGAAAACACATCACTAAAAAAAATAAAAAAACAACCAGGAGATAACGCAACACAAATATTTTTTCTAGGCTTCCTCACAAAAATACGTTTTCCAACAGCAAGGTTTTTGGCCTCGAAAGTGGAACCTTTTTGAAAGAAGCAATGCAAGAGGAATGCGTAGTATTTTAGGGTTTTGTTCTGCTTGCCTGGATTTCCCTTCATGCTTTTGCTGCCAGAGCACAGTTGTTTGCAGAGCTCTAGCAAAAGAATAATTTAGAAACAGTTATTAATAATAATCCCTTACAAATGCCATGAAGTTCCTGTGCCATCCTTATCCCGCTGGTGGAAAGTACAGGGTAAGGAAGAGAGGAATTTGCCCATAATATCAAAATTGAGAAGGATGGGAGCTACAGCCCCTTTTTGCTCCCTTTACAGCTCCAGGTTTCTTTAGTCACCTGGGATTCCCAGCAGCAGATGCTGCAGCTAAACTAAGATTTCTATTACAGCAAAAATA